CACAGAGATCCTGGCCCAGCCCGAGGTCATCGCCAACAGCACGGAGCTGGTGGAGCGCCGAGACACCCTGCGCCTGCTGTGCAGTAGCCCCAGCCCCGCCGAGGTCCGATGGTTCTTCAACGGCGAGGCCCTGCCCATCGCCCTCCGCCTCGGCCTGTCCCCCGACGGCCGGGTGCTGACCAGGCACGGCATCCGCCGGGAGGAGGCGGGGGCCTACCAGTGTGAGGTCTCGAACCCGGTCAGTGTGAGCCGCAGCGAGCCCATCAACCTGAACGTGTACTGTGAGTCCTCCCGGCCCCACCAGGGACACCCAACCTCATAGCTGGGGAAACTGAGGCCAAGGCAGGGCGCCCAGGGGCAGACAGCGTGTCCGTAGGTGTCCTGGGGTGAGGAACCAGGGACCCCTCTGAAAAGGTGTCTCCCCATCTCCTGAGGACTAAGGACACTGTTGGGATGGAATAACCCTCCAGTTTGAAGCAATTCCCTCAGGGAAGGGACGGCACTGGTATTTGCAAAGGAGGCGGGAAGTCAGTGGCCTACTGGGAAGGGAGATGAAATAAAAACACCAGCAAGGCCGGGAGTCGTTGGAACCCGAGGAGAACTAACCACTGAGGCACGCGAGGGCCGGGGACGTAGGAAATCGTAGAACCTGGAACGCTCCGACCAAGGACTCTGGCCTTAAGAGGCACTGAATTCTAGACTCTGAGGATGCTGGTAACTCTAGAAGCAGAGATTCTTAGAATCTTAGCATCTAGTTCTGCAACCTTAGAGCCACCCGACCCTAGAATCGTAGAAAACCTAGATTTCCAGTCTCTGACCGTCCTAGCACCTGAGCCATCACCCGTGGAGCCTTAGCCCGCTAGACTTCTAGAATGGCTTGTCGGAAACCAGCCGCTTAGACTTGTGTGTGTGTTTTTTTAATGGAGCCGTCGATTTCAAGCCTACCTTGAAATGCAGTCTGGCTCAACACCCTCTTTTTCCAGAAGAGACACTGAGATCCCTCCCCTGAGAGGGAAAGTGACTCAAGAGCCTTCCTAGAGCCGAAACCGGTTTGGCTCAGTGGATAGAGCGTCGGCCTGCGGACTGAAAGGTCCCAGGTTCGATTCCAGTCAAGGGCATGTGCCTGGGTTGCGGGCACATCCCCGGGGGGGGGTGTGCAGGAGGCAGCTGATCGATGTTTCTCTCTCATCGATGTTTCTAACTCTCTGTCTCTCTCCCTTCCTCTCTGTAGAAAATCATATTAAAAAAAAAAAAAAGATCCTTCCTAGAGCGAGTTAGAGACCCGTGTGGCATTCGGAAAGGCAGGAGCTCTTTATCCCTCCACTAGGCCCAGCTACTCCCAGGGGCCCAGGCCGGTGGAAAGAAAGCCAGGGGTGCCCACCTCCCCTCCCCTCCCCACCCCCCTCTACTGCCCGTGTCTCTCGCTCCTGCCCCCACAGTTGGCCCGGAACGCGTGGCTATCCTCCAGGATTCCACCACCCTCACGGGCTGCACCATCAAAGTTGACTTCAATGCTTCCCTCACCCTGTGGTGCGTGTCCCGGTCCTGCCCGGAGCCCGAGTACGTGTGGGCCTTCAACGGGCGGGCCCTGAAGAACGGCCACGACCACCTGAACATCAGCAGCATGACGGCGGCCCAGGAGGGCACCTACACGTGTATTGCTAAGAACCCCAAGACCCTGCTCTCCGGATCGGCCTCGGTGGTGGTCAAGCTCACTGGTGAGTCGCCCAGAGGACACACCCTCCACCCCACCCCCGCCCCTACCTGGAGGCCCAGTGGACGTACAGGTTTGGCTGCTCCACCAGCAGTTAGGCCACCATCTACCCAACTAAGGATGGGAAAGGGAGAGAGTCTCAACCCAGCTGGTGGCCAAGCAACCTGCCAGGTGGACCCCTCTTCGTCCAGGAGGCAAAAGGAGACAGTGCGTCCTGTCGCCTGGAAAACAGACGACAAACCTGGCTCTCTCTCTCCCCTGAGGGGCGGCACCGGGAGAAGCGGGCTGCAGGCCCCGCACTGCACAGCGCAGAGGGGAGAGGCGGCCCTGAGTCGCAGCTGCCAAGGGGCTTCACCCACGCCCTGGGAGAGGCCGCTGAATTTCTGGGCAGCCTGGTGGGTTACCCCGCTATCTGGCCCAGACGACGGTGTGGGCACCCACTGGGAGGCTCTCTCTCTCTCTCTCTCTCTCTCTCTCTGAAAATCACAGCCAATTGTTGGCAAATGGAAAAACACAGCTGGGATGGCACTGTCTTGTCCTCGTTCTTAAATGACCTGGGGCTGGGCTACAGGCACAGCTGGTGTTTTCAGAGCCATCGGGAGCCTCTGGGGACACTTCCTCATCCCCTGGGGGTGGTGGCTTTGAACATTAGGGTCTGATTAATTCCCTCTTGGTTCCTTCCCAAGCGGCCCCCATCCCCCGGGGACAGTGGGAGCAGTCGCCCCCCCCTCCCCTCCCTCCTCCTAACAGGCTGGGTCTCATCCAAAGGGTGGATCCTCTTTCACCCAAAGCAGAAATGACATCCCCAGAGGTAAGTGTGCCTCCTGCCCCACCGCACTGGCCCGGCAGCTGGTCCTGGCAGACGGCAGGGGGGCGGGGGAGGGGGTGGGCCAGATGACCTCAGGTGCTGCCCCAGGCCCTGCCTGAGGGGGGTGCCCCAGGAGTGCAGGTACGTGCAGGGAGTGGGCCTTCTGAACTGTCAGCAACCCGGGCAGGTGCCAGGAGAGAGACAGAGGAAAAGGAGACATCACCCTTCCCCTCCCGGGGGAGCCGCTGATCTGATGGAGGAGGCATGGTCTCTGCCCTGAAAGAGATGGTCCTGGGACAGGGTGGCATGGCCTCCGTATTCAAGAGGCTGCTAGTCAGAGAGGAGAGGCAATGGGGGAGACCAGACACCCACCCTCAATGAGCTTCCAATCAGATGGAGGAGGCCCAGTCCGCGGTTGGGGAGAGTTTCTATTCTGATGGGGGAGACAGGGCCTTGAGGAGACACGGCCCTTTTATTTATTTATTTATTTATCTATTTATTAGAATTCCTAGTCTGATGGGGGAGACACAGTTCCCACCTCGGGGCTACTCCCAATCTGATGGGGGAGTACAGGCCTCCCACTTTCTAGGAATTTCTAGTCTGATGCCCCCATCCAGCCTCTGGGGTCCCAGCCTGATTGGAAAGACCAAACCCAGTGATCGCACACTCCCACCCGATGGAGGAGACACGGCCTCTGCCCCTCAGGAACGCTCAGCCTGATGGGAAAGCACAGCCCGCACATGTCCGGGCCTCCCCGCCTGGCAGGAAGGACCCGCTGGGGCACACAGCTCCCACCTATCTGATGGGGAAGACGTGGTCCCCACGTTCTAGAATTTCCGATCTAATGGGGGAGACACGGTCCCCCATTTTCTAGAATTTCCGATCAGATGGGGGAGGCGTGGCCCCTATGTTTTGGGAGTCTGCAATCTGATGGAGGAGACATGACCCTAGCCTCTAGGGCAGCGGTTCTCAGCCTATGGGTTGCGACCCCTTTGTCGGTCGAACGAGCCTTTCACAGGGGCCGCCTAAGACCATCCTGCATATCAGATAGTTACATGACGATTCATAACAGTAGCAACATGACAGTGATGAAGTAGCAACGGAAATAATGCTATGGTTGGGTCACAACATGAGGAACTGTATGTAAAGGGCCAGAAGGTTGAGAACCACTGCTCTAGAGTCTTGCACTTTCGTGAGAGAAAGATCCCCCAGAGGCTGAACAATTTTCGTCTAATGGGGGAGAGGTGGCCACCTCCCGCTGGGGCCGCCGGTCTGACCGAGGAAGACAGAATCCCTGGCCGGCCTATCGGGACGAGAGGCCCTCCACACCTGTCACCAGCTTCCTCTGTCTCCTTCCCAGAGCCCTGCACGGGGGAGCACCATGGAGCTGGGGGCGGGCACAGCTGAGCCCGCTGGGGGCAGCAGGGACACGATGCCCGATGCGGCCCAGCTGAGCCCGCGTCCCCTCTCTCTCTCCCCAGCGGCTGTCGTGGCCATGTCGATCGTGCCCGTGCCGACCAAGCCGACGGAGGGCCAGGACGTGACGCTGACCGTCCAGGGCTACCCCAAGGACCTGCTGGTCTACGCCTGGTACCGCGGGCCTGCCTCCGAGCCCAACCGGCTGCTCAGCCAGCTGCCGTCCGGGAACTGGATCGCAGGCCCCGCGCACACCGGCCGGGAGGTGGGCTTCGCCAACTGCTCGCTGCTGGTGCAGAAGGTGAACCTCACGGACGCCGGACGCTACACACTCAAGACCGTCACGCTGCAGGGCAAGACGGAGACGCTGGAGCTGGAGCTGCAGGTGGCCCGTGAGTGTGTGGGGTGGGGTGGGGGGGCGCCGCCTGCAGACAGGGGCTCCCAAAAGGGGACTTCTCTACCTCTTGCATGGCTATGCCTTCCCACCAGACTGCCAGAAGGAACCTTGCCTCCTCCATCTGACTGGGCAGTCCCCAAATGAGGTCTTCTGCCTCTCCCGTCAAACTGATGGCCTAGAGCAGGGGTCCACAGGCCTCCTCTGTCAGACTGGGGGCTACTGGAGGGGGCTTCCATGCCTTCTTTCTCAGATAAGAGGTACCCCAGACTGAAAGGAGAACAGGACATCCTTTTCCCCACAGATGAGTGGACCCTAAAACACAGAAGGCATTGCTTCTACCATTGCATCGGGGAAGTTGGCTAATGGTGGGAGTTTCCCTCCCCTGTCAGACTAGAGGTCTAGAGTCAGGGTGGATCCTGCCTCCCTCTTCAGACTGTCACCCTAGACCAGTGATCAGCAAACTCATTAGTCAACAGAGCCAAACATCAACAGTACAACGATTGAAATTTCTTTTGAGAGCCAAATTTTTTCAACTTAAACTATATAGGTAGGTACATTGTTATTAACTTCATTAGGGTACTCCTAAGGCTTAGGAAGAGCCACACTCAAGGGGCCAAAGAGCCGCATGTGGCTCGCGAGCCGCAGTTTGCCAACCACTGCCCTAGACAATGGGGATCACATCTCACCTTTTGCATTACGGTGGGAATGCGGACAGAATTTCTCCCAGCAGAGGGTGGGATTTCTCTCTCAAACTGAAATAGGAATGACCTACTCCATTACGATGGAGATGTCTAGGTGGTGGGCATTGTGTCTCCTCTGTCAGACTGGGAATTTCCAGATGTTGGAGACCACGACTCCCAGACTGGGAGTGCCCAGAAGTTGGGAACAATGTCTCCTCCATCAGACTGGGAGCTCCCAGGTGTTGGGGACCGTGTCTCCCCATCAGACTGGGAGTTCCCACAAATCAGGAACAATGTCTTCTCCGCCAGACTGGGAATTCTCAAATGTTGAGGACCATGTCTTTCTCACCAGAGTCAGGGACCATGTCTCCTCCATCAGACTGGGAGCTCCCAGGTGTTGGGGACCGTGTCTCCCCCTTCAGACTGGGAGCTCCCAGGTGTTGGGGACCGTGTCTCCCCCTTCAGACTGGGAGCTCCCAGGTGTTGGGGACCGTGTCTCCCCCTTCAGACTGGGAGCTCCCAGGTGTTGGGGACCGTGTCTCCCCCTTCAGACTGGGAGCTCCCAGAATCAGGGACCATGCCTCCTTCATCAGACTGGGAGCTCCCAGAGTCAGGGACCATGTCTCCTCCATCAGACTGGGAGCTCCCAGAATCAGGGACCATGTCTCCTCCATCAGACTGGGAGCTCCCAGAATCAGGGACCATGTCTCCTCCATCAGACTGGGAGCTCCCAGAATCAGGGACCATGTCTCCTCCATCAGACTGGGAGCTCCCAGAATCAGGGACCGTGTCTCCTCCATCAGACTGGGCGCTCCCAGAATCAGGGACCATGTCTCCTTCATCAGACTGGGAACTCCCAGAGTCAGGGACCGTGTCTCCCCCATCAGACTGGGAGCTCCCAGAATCAGGGACCGTGTCTCCCCCATCAGACTGGGAGCTCCCAGAATCAGGGACCGTGTCTCCTCCATCAGACTGGGGGCTCCCAGAGTCAGGGACCATGTCTCCCCCATCAGACTGGGGGCTCCCAGAGTCAGGGACCGTGTCTCCCCACGGACTGAGCATCTCCAGGGGCCTGAGAGGCCGTGTTCCAGAAACAGGGCCGCGTTTGACCCATTAGACCAGGAGCTTGCAGACACCGGGGACTAGGTCATTCCCCAGGCTGGAGTCTTGCCTCCCCCATCAGACCAGACACTCTCAGAAGTCATGTCCCTCAGGGACAGAGTCGCCCTCCCTCGGACTTGAAGCTTCTAGGATCAGGGACCCAGTCACCAGCAGGCACCCCGGACCCCCTCTTTCATCCACTCACTCATCAAGCCCTGGTTTTCTGGGCCAGTGTTAGGGGGAGAATGTTGTCCAGGGACAGCAGACCACCCCCCAATGAGGCCCGGGGAGGCCCTTTCACCTGTCTCTCTTCTCACAGTCAACCTTCCTCCCTTGCAGAGGACCAGCGCTACCTTCCTGAACCTGAACCTGGCACAGGCTGAGCGTGGGGCGGGCGGGGCCGCCGGGTAAAAATCTTGAGCCTAGGTCATATTCCATATGAATGAAATATATTTTTGTTTCCCAGGTGATCTCTCTGTACAGCCAAATTTGAGAAACCATGTTGAAGAAGAGCATTAGCTCTAACTGAAAAACATCTGAGTTGCCCATTCATTAGCTCTGTAACCTTGGGCTATTCCAGAGATTTCTGTCAGTTTCATGAAGAGTACTTTATATCCCCAAAGATTAGCATAAGGACTGATACACAGAAGGTACCAAACAAAGATGTGTTTATTTGAATAAATAATACATGGGGAATCAATTAATATTGACAGTAAACTTCCCCTACCTGGTTAAAGAAATAGACTTACAAGTCCAGGAATCGCAGAGAACACCAAACAAAAGGAATCCAAAGAGGACCTTACGAAGACACATCATAATTAAAATGCCAAGAGGAAAAGACAAAGAGAGAATCTTAAAAGCAGCACGAGAAAAAAAGTCAGTTACCTACAAGGGAGTACCCATGCGACTGTCAGCTGATTTCTCAACAGAAACCATGCAGGCCAGAAGAGAGTGGCAAGAAATATTCAAAGTGATGAATAGCAAGAACCTGCAACCAAGATTACTTTATCCAGCAAAGCTATCATTCAGAAGTGAAGGTCAGTTTTCCAAACCATTTTATTCGCCGCAGAGCTTTCTCTCAATGCAGGTTTAAATGGTAGGTCCATGTGTTATTTAAAATAGCAATGCAGCCAGTGTTTCTCAATGGTGAGAGTGTCAGCCCGTCCATCAAAGGGTCATGTGTTCAATTCCTGCTCAAGAGCATGAACCTGGGTCGCAGGTTTGATCCCAGCCCTGGTTGGGGCACGTGCGGGAGGCAACCGATCGATATGTCTCTCTCACATTGAAGTTTCTCTCTCTCTCTCTCTCTCTCTCTCTCTCCCTCCCTCCCTTCCACTCTCTCTAAAAAAAAATACAGAAATAAGTAAAAGAGCAATGCAATAAAAGTAGATATCCGTTCAAAAGCTATAGCCTTCTCTCCCCCAAAATTTCTACACATTTGAAAACAATTCCTTAAATGTAAATAATATTTAGATTATAGAGGTCATTAAAATAGCAACCCGAGCCCTAGCCCATTTGGCTCAGTGGATAGAGCACAGGCCTGCGGACTAAAGGGTCCCAGGTTCGATTCTGATCAAGGGCACATGCCTGGTTGCAGTCTCGATCCCCAGCAGGGGGCGTGCAGGAGGCAGCCAATCAATGATTCTCTCTCATCATTTTCTCATCATTGATGCTTCTGTCTCTCTCTCCCTCTCCCTTCCTATCTGAAATCAATAATATATATATATTCAACCAGAATCAATAGGCAGTGAAAACACTCCATATAGAAATCTGTGGGCTGTGGCCAAAGCCACACTGGGAGGGGCGATGCTTAAATGCACTGAACGTAATAAAAGAAAAGAATTCCAAGTGAAGCAAATAAGCTTTCCACTCAGGAAACTAGAAAAAGTCCACAAAATAAATCAAAGAAAACAAGGTAAGAGATTGAGAACGATCAAAGCAGAAATGGACGAAACAGAAAACAAAATGGGAGCTGGTCAATCAATCCTAAAGTGATTCTGTGAAAATGCCAATAAAATAGACAAACTCTTTGTGATGAGAGGCAGAGGAGACTCATACAGAAAAAAAAGGCGACGCTGCTCTGGTCGAAGTAGTGGGTCTGTCTGTCCCGGGTTAGATTCTCAATAAATATATACGGGGCGGGGGCCGGGGGGGGACATGGCAGGTTTGTGAACGGCCCCCCAGCCGCTATTCCCCTCCCCTCTTCCATGATAGCAAGCACTGATTACCGTGAAAGAAGACGGAAAATGTCAGGTACTCACTTTCCCAGGCTGCTTTGCAGCTTCAGGAGGCCATGTGACCCAGTCTGGCCAATGAAGAGAGAGCCAGAAGGCCTGTCCACTAAAAAGTCCAGGGGCCGCTAAGACTTTGGAAGCTATTACCTAAATCAGTGGCCTCTCGTATGAGGGTTTCCAGGCAGTAGCGCCCCTAGAAACTGAGGACGGCCTTGAGCCCATACTCTTAATCCCAACACTAGTCAGCCCCCCAATGGGACATAGCGTCCCATTGTCCCCACCCCTCCAAATTCACAGAAGAGTGGGTGACAGCCCTCGCCGGTTTGGCTCAGCAGATAGCACCTCGGCCTGTGGACGAAAGGGTCCCAGGTTCGATTCTGGTCAAGGGCACGTCCTTCGGTTGCAGGCTCCTCCCTGGCCCGGGCCCTGGTCAGGGCGCTTGCAGGAGGCAACCAATTGGTGTGTTTCTCTCATATCGATGTGTCTCACTGTTTTTCCCTCTCTCTCCCACTCTCCCTAAAAATCAATGGAAAAATATCCTCGGGTGAGAATTAACAACAATAACAAAAAGTCAGTGGCAGCTGTAGGGCTCGAGCCTCGGTGTATCGGTGAGAATTTCTTTTTAGTGGCCAGTAGGAGAGACTGGAAATAACACACACAACAGAAGCAACAAAGAGAAGACTGACATAAAAGAGGAGCTGGCACAGGGAAGAGTAGCTTGCATGGATGGAAGGTTGCCTCTCTCACATAAAAAAGAACTCATCAACAAATCGTTCAGAGCTGGAATGGTGGTTCCGTGGCGTCACCAGGGACACAGCTCTCTCTCTTTCTGCTCCATTGTTCTTGGCTTGGGCCTTCCATTCTCTTCATCACCTCATGGTCCAAGACGGCTGCTGGAGCTGCAGCCGCCTCATCCATGTTCCAGAAAGAAGGGGACAAAAAGCAACAAGAGCCCCCCTCCCCCCACCAATGTATGGACCGTGCCCTTTTTCAGAAACCTTTCCCAAAGGCCCATCCTACAACTTCCACTTACACCTGCTTGGCCAGCTCTTTGTCACGTGACGACCCTAGCTGCAAGGGAGGCTGAGAAGTAGAGTCTTTTCCCTGGGTACACGGCTGTCCCAGGGAGCATCAGGGTCCTGCCACCAAGGAAGACAGGAAGGATGGCTCCCAGGTGGGTAGCTGGCAGGCTCTGCCCTGCCAGACCTTAGACCTCCTACCTTCCACACTAGACAAGATGACCTTTCTCACCTAAGCCCAATGGTAGCCACAGCCATGGTAGCAGGGAACTGGGAGAGACTGGGGTTGTATTTAATTTTTTTATTATTTTTTATGTATTTTATCTAGAACATGGCCTCCCCTACCTCCCCCCTCCCCCCAGTGTCTTCTGTCCATTGGTTATGCTTATATGCATGAATACAAGTCCTTCGGTTGATCTCTTACCTCCCCCCCTGCTCCCCTCCATACTGGGGCTGCATTTAGTTGGGTCTTGCTTTGTGCACTTCAAAATGAGGCCAGTAGGAGGGGTGCTGGGAGCGACAGAGGAGGCAGCTCAGGTTTCTGGGTCAAGCAGATCCCGTATCCTTAGGGTGTAGTGGCTCAGATGTCCCCAAAACCAAGCCTCCCATCTCTCTAGATATCTCTGGGCTCCTTGACTGTATCCTTCAGGCCGTCCAGTTCCCTCCTTTCACAGAACAGCAACAATCACCACAGAATAATAATCGCTCCTGTACTCGGGCACTGACTTTGTCAGGCGCTATCTCAATGAATTCCTACAACAACTACTGCCAGTAGTTGAGTAGCTACTGCCAGTTCCTCCATTTTACAGGGAGGAAACTGAGGCACAGGTCCCACCGTTCCCACGGCTGCTGTGGGGAGGCCCTGGCGGGTGAGTCCTCTTCCTTCCTCAGCAGAGCAGGTGCTCAAGGACACAGGCTTGGGGCCCAGACGGAGCTGAGCTGGCCACGCATCATCGCTGTGGGCAGGTTGCTTTTGCTCACCTGTACAAATCCTATATAATAAAACCCTTATATGCAAATCGACCGAACAGCAGAACAACAGGTCACTATGACACACTGACCCCTGAAACTAATATAACTGTATATTAACTATCCTATATAATAAAACCCTTATATGCAAATCGACCAAACGGCAGAACAATGGGTCACTGTGACACGCACTGACCACTAGGGGGCAGACGCTCAGTGCAGGAGCTGCCCCCTGGTGGTCAGTGCACTCCCACAGGGGGAGCATCGCTCAGCCAGAAGCTGGGCTCACGGCTGGCAAGCACAGCAGCAGTAGCGGGAGCCTCTCCTGCCTCCTCAGCAGCACTAAGGACCCCTCAGGGGGTGTCTGACTGCTGGCTTAGGCCTGCTCCTTCCCAGTAGTCGGACATCCCTCGAGGGGTCCCGGACTGCGAGAGGGCGCAGGCCAGGCTGGGGGGCCCCCCCACCAATGCACAAATGTTGTGCACCAAGCCTCTAGTAAGATAATAATAGTGGCCATTGCCTGCCCAGTGTGGCTCAGTGGTTGAGCATTGACCTACTAACCAGGAGGTCGATTCCCGGGCAGAGCACATGCCTGGATTTTGGGCTCAATCTCCAATAAGGGGCGTGCAGGAGGCAGCCAATCGATGATTCTCTCTCATTATTTATGTTTCTCTTGCTCCCTCTCTCTCTGAAATCAATTAAAAAAATACATTTTAAAAAATAATAATAATAGTGGCATCGCCATGGCCAGTGTGGCTCAGTTGGTGGAGTACGGTCCCGTGCACCAAAAGGGTACCATTTGGTTCCTGGTCAGGGTACATGCCCAGGGTGCAGTCTCAGTCTCTGGTAGGGGGTGTGCAGGAGGCAGAATCGATGTTCCCCTCTCACATCAATGTTTCTCTCTTTCTCTCCCTCTCTAAAAAAAATCAATAAAAATATTTTTTTAAAAAAATAGTGCCCACCTCCTAGGATTGTTGAAAAGATTAAATGAGTCGAGCAAAGAATCTGGCACACACGTGCTTGGGAAAGGTCTTTGACCCCCATAACGTTTTGTTAGCTTTCGGCGACAGGCAGATAGAAAAGCCAGGAACAATCATGTTTCTGCAATGCCTTCTTCCCGGGGGACTGAATTAACTGCCACACAGGTTTGCCTCTTTTTATGAAATACATGACGTTCTTG